AAAAATTAAATAAATAAAAATTTTGACGGCGGAAACTTGAATTTCGACGGGTTTGAACGGCCCGCCAACGTGCAGATGACGTGCATAATCGTGTAAACAGCGTCATTTCTCTTCTGTACAAAAGATTCATTATTGTTTATTACTGAATGTCCTTTTTATTGAATTAATGTTTATGTGTGCAAAATGAGCAATACAATTCATTAATAATACGTAGAATATTAAAACACACGAGGAAATGACACGGCATTGTTTTCGTTGATTACAAAGCCAGTGACTGACTGGTTCTACATATAAAACTGAAGAAAATAAGACCTTGGTTGTAGCTGTAGTAAAATTAATATGGTTGTTTTAAGTAATGTTATTTAATGTTAATAAATGGAACAATAGAAGTAGCTAACGATAATGGTAAAGAAAAAAGAGAGATCGCATATGTAAGTGCGCATGCGCACACGTGAAAACATATCGTCATTACTTTACATAAGAATATGAAAGCAACACTTATTTACTGTTCATATATATTTTAATTAATGTTTCTGAATTTGTTTTTATTGAATTAATGTATGTGTGTGCAAAATTAACAATACAATTTATTAATAATACGTGGAATATTAGAGGAGACGAGACGGCTGCCGGCATTGTTTATGTTAGAGCTTACGAAACCAGTGACTGATTGGTTCGACATATAAAACTGAAGAAAATAAGACCCTGATTTTAGCTGTAGTAAAATTAATGTAAAAAAAATAATATGGTTGTTTGAAGTACCTGTAATGTTATTTAATGTTAATAAATGGAACAATATAAGTAGCTAACCATTAATGGTAAAAAAAAAGTGAGACTGCGTGTATGTAAGTGCGCACATGTGAAAACATATCGTCATTACTCTACATAAGAATATGAAAGCAACATTTATTTACTGCTCATATATATTGAAGGGTTAAATGTTGTACTCTGTACAGTATTACCCCGCCTAACGCGGTTTCACTTAACGCGTTTTATCATATACGCGGTGCCTCGCCAGAGCTGAACTTTCACTTAACACGGATTTTTTCCACATATACGCGGTGAGTGTCCGGCTCGAGACGCTATTTTTAGATTTGCCCCACCCGCCACCCTGCCTGACTGCCTGTTTTAGCTCATAAAATTCATACAAATTACCCGGCCAGAATATAATTTACATTGCTGGAATTCTTATAATTTGGTGATCATTTTGAATATAAACATCATATATTTTGCATTAGACATACAAATTTTAGATAAAAATTTTTCTCAGAGTAACTATGTTATCTTTTGTGCAAAATATATGACATTTATATTCAAAATATTCCTGGTCTTACAAGGAATCCAGCAATGTCAATTATATTATCCTAACTTTAGTTTGAGGTATTATTTATTAAAATTTAGTGGTTATCCCACACATCTCCTTGGGACGGTTGGTGGGGGGTGGGGGGGAGGGAGGGACCGACCGACCATCTGTTACCCCGTGAAGAATTATTTTTTTTTATTAACTGAAGATATTTGTTTTAGCTCATAAAATTCATACAAATTACCCGGTCTGAATATAATTTACATTGCTGGAATTCTTATAATTTGATGATCATTTTGAATATAAACATCATATATTTTGCATTAGACATACAAATTTTAGATAAAAATTTTTCTCAAATTAACTATGTTATCTTTTGTGCAAAATATATGACATTTATATTCAAAATATTCCTGGTCTTACAAGGAATCCAGCAATGTCAATTATATTATCCTAACTTTAATCTGAGGTATTATTTAATACTAAATGTTAAAAACTCTGGAAGGGAGGATTGGTGGGGGGTGGGGGGGAGGGTTGGGACTGACCGCGCGGTTGGAAGAGGGGGGAGGCAAGGTGGGGTACTTTGATTGACAGATAGTGTCGTGAAGATTATTTTTTTTTTTATTAACTGAAGATATTTGTTTTAGCTCATAAAATTCATACAAATTACCCGGTCAGAATATAATTTACATTGCTGGAATTCTTATAATTTGGTGATCATTTTGAATATAAACATCATATATTTTGCATTAAACATACAAATTTTAGATAAAAATTTTTCTCTAGGTAACTATGTTATCTTTTGTGCAAAATATATGACATTTATATTCAAAATATTCCTGGTCTTACAAGGAATCCAGCAATGTCAATTGTATTATCCTAACTTTAGTTTGAGGTATTATTTATTAAAATTTAGTGGTTTTCCCCCCAAAATTTCTCAGAGAGGGAAGAGCCAGCAGTGTAGTGTGAGAAGAGGGGGGAGGGAGTTGAGTCCATTATTTGAATGGACATTAACTTGGCGACTGTATTTCTCTATTTCTCTTAAGTATTAATTGTGTGCATGTACCATCATAAAATTAAGATGTTATTTTTACTACAACATAGGTATGTGCCTTCAAAAAGTGGAGTTTGGGGGTCGGGCGGTTTCTATTGGAATTAATCCCATATGTTCTGTTGTTCACTTAACGCGGATTTCACTTAACGCGGGACCCTCTGGGTTCTATTGATCGCGTTAAGTGGGGTACAACTGTGTGTGTGTATATATATATATATATATATATATATATATATATATATATATATATATATATATATATATATATATATATATATATATATATATATATATATATAACAGGGATTAGCCCACCCGGCATAGGTCATTGACCCACATTGGGGCCTGAGGGCAAAATTCTAATAGTCCTGTAATAATAATTCACAAAAAAAAAAAAAAAAGCTGCCTATCTACCTATTGGACAAACTAAAATCGTTCTGGACCACGGGAGTTTCCGGACCACAAAATGCCGGACTAGAGAGGTACAACCTGTATCGCTTTGTAGCCCGCGCCATCCTAGCGACTGCCCGGGCTGTTATCGTGTGCTTTTTTTGGGTGGTGCTACCACCTGTCGAGTCAAGATAATTGCCTCTACCTCTACTGGGGGTCGTGCTGGTGGAGGTGGGACAGACCCACCTAAGTGGCCAAATAAGGAAAAGGAGAAGCGGGAATATCATAAGGGTTAAGTTTGCCAAGTAATTGATGCAGGATAAGCAGCTTGTGATTAAATTACTTGAGGAAGGCCTAAAAACTAGTTTCCGGAAAGCACAATCAAGTCAATAAAGGCAGAATTTGTATCATTTGGAGGTTATAAATGGGAAAATCAGAGGTTGATGTAGAGTGGCCAGTCTAATTGCTATTTTTCCCATTAGTTTATGTACTGTATTTGCATTTGGCGAATTTGAATTTGGCGCAATTATTCCAGTCTATATTACTTGCGAAATACAAGATCTTACTGTATATAAAATTCTAGGTACAGTACGCCTCTTTAAGTACTCTGATGTACCACTAGATGTAGTGTACTGACCTGCGTGTGTGAGATACCGAGTGTCTCTGAGGACGAGGGGCAACGTCTCGCCCTGACTAGCCCTACCGGTGCCAATGCTTAAATTTCACCATGTCTTTATTCTGGCTCCCACACATACACTTTCTTATATATTGGAACTTAATGCCTTATAGCTACATACCTTAATTCTAAATTTCATACTACAGTAAGTGTCTGGTTTGTCATGTTCAGGCAAATTGCTTTGGCTATCTCATTACCTCGAAACTGTAGCCACAGGCGGTTTATGTGCCAGCGCAAACAAAGGCCTTGGTCCTTGGCTTTGGTATATCCTCTTCTTTATTCTGTGTGTATGGTTCATTCCCCATACTTTGCAATTGTTTAACGCGTTCATAAGATTCTCGAATCATTACACTGTTCGTGGTTATTCATCACAAGGGGTAACGATTGTTCAGGTATCAAGCTCACACTGAGGTACATAATCCCAATATTTCACATAATGTCTGATACATTTATCCTTTTCCCAGATCATTGTTCTCATATATTTTCATCTGATACCTGAGGTAGCTATGTTTGCTAATCTTACACAGACATAAATACCATAACCTTCAGACAAGATCACACTTATTCACTATAGTACACTAGTCCATATCACTTGGGCTTTCCCAATCATCATATAGATACCTTGAGTTCTCCCTTAATACTATCAGTATACATACTTAAGATTATATGCACGGAAACTGGTATAATTCGTATAAAACAACATGCCGTACAGCATACTAATTACCCCTTCTAAATGTTTAATGTTTTCTGTGACACTTCCCACTGGCATGGTGAGTTTGATTGTTATGTAGCTGTTATATGAATCGGAAGAGATTATAGAGACCCGTACAAAAGTACGCAGTACAACAATATTGCATTAAAGAAAAAGTATTGGAATTTTCTGATGAAAAGGGTGGGTCTGGGCCCAACCCATATTTAGGAATAGAAATGAATGTGAACAGATTCTTCTAAATGATTTATAATCTGAGTTGTGTTAATGTGTCACTTGGTCTTAGGACCATTCACAGTACATAATCAGACACTATCACATGTACAGTACTGTATAATATATGGTAGTGTATAGTGCAGGAATGTTTATTTTATACAGTAGTTATTGTTTGCCAATGCTAATTAATGAGCTTATGACTAGAACTTATGTACCAATTCATAATAAAAGATAATTATACTTCATTTGTAAATTAGGTGATGTACTGTACTGTACTGTACTGTACCGTACTGTACTGGAGTTTTCTGGGTACTGGGAAAGTTTCTTTGAATTTTTCGGAAATTGTGCATTATTTCATCCTTGAACTTTGCTCCCAGACCCAGAAAAAATATTTGGAAAAAGTTGCCCTAATTTTGTCCGAATTTTTCAGAAAGTGCTCCTGATTTTCAACCTCAGAAAATCATTCCCAAACCCGTAATTGAGAGAAATTCTCCGGAAAAATTCTGAGCAAATTTCAATTTCAGCTATTGGAGAGTATCTGCTAAAAGAGATTCCAGCTAACGATGATATTACTGTACATACAGTATATCTCTTAGATTGACGTCCATTAAATGTTCATTTTACTGTATGTTTATAAGTTTACTTTTTTCAGGGTGCAGGTGGTGGTGGTGGGAGCCAGATCTCCCGAACTGCAGGCTTGCCACTCTCCGACTTCCTGATGCAGCTTGAGGACTATAACCCAACGGTGTGACTACATGAAAATCTGCTTGCCATCTTATTTAACGGACATATGAAACCTCCATATATTGAACTATATAGAGGTGGAAGTCCATTACCTGTATATTGAGGGGCCCGTTAGATGTGAAACCTTCATCTAATGAACGTATAGAGATGAAAGTCTAACGGATTATATGGATAGAGAAGTTTGTTATATGGAGGTTTCACTGTACAGTATTTGCTTGTATGTGATGTATTAGACATGGAGCATCTAAGTCTTAGGACAAGCAGAAATGAATCAGATTACTAGTTCAGTACAGTATACTTGCGCCATAAGTTTTAATCGCCCTCTTCTGTTGATGAGGGACGTCATGTTTACAACTAGATTTTTAAACAATTTGAATCATGAAGGACATCACACTGCAGCTCTCTACAGGGAGGTGTGGCGGTAAAATTAACTTATAATATTGGAATTAGCTACCGTATATCTCGGCTTATAAGACGGAATTTGAACATTAAAAAAATCTGCCCAAAGTTAGGGGGTCGTCTTAATCACCAAGTATAAAATTCTTACCTCTTAAATATTGCGGTTTAGCGTGTCAAGAGTGGTGATGGAAACATGGTAAACCACTCACAAAGTCCTACCAGGGAAAGTGACCTTGACTGTGACTGCCTGTGGCTATTTTTAGCCGTCCTTGTGTTCGGAGGTGGTCAGTAATGCATATCTGTATATTTACTGATCATAATACTTATCTCCTATAAATAATTAATTTAAAATTTATTTTTTTACAAAGAATATTCAGTAAATGACTGCGTTAATTCTTGAAACTACCGACAGTGGTAAATTTAGGATATAAATGATGAACAGAAGTCACGGCATGGATTCGGAGTTTGGTCCTTAATGATCACCTACCAGTTATAATGGTAGCCTCCCTTTTTCGCAAAACAAGTATATAAATTAAAGAAAATACTTGCAGTGTGTTTAATGTATTACAGTATATTATAAATAAATAAATAAACAAATAAATCGGCAAATCTATTTCAAGTAAATGGAAATATTTTACACACACCAACATTAGTTCCAATTAAATAATTGCCGCTTAAGTGAGTCACTAGTGTACACCAGCCGGTAAAATTTGATGCCAATACTTGAAGTGAATTGGCATTATTTTAAATAACCAACCATAAATAAATGGAAAAAAGATCAGAGGTGAGAAACATTATATTGTATGTATGTTGTGTTGTCAAAGGAAAAGAAACAATTGAAACTCTGCAATTGTGTGTAAATGAGGCAGAAAGATAAATCAGCAACCTAAGACTTGGTCACAATTTTTGTGATGCCATATGGAAGTATGGTCTACCATTAGACAATACTGTACATTATGCTTCCAATATCTTCCCAGGCAGTAGAATCTCCCTGTTTGGTAGCTGCCTAAAACTTTTAGTAATATTACTTTGATACAACATGATAAATTAGACAAACAATGAAAATAAACAAACAAAAGTTATTTACCAAGACCTCTCTGAGAACAGAGGGATGGAGGGGGAAGGAAGGAGGTTGAGATAAGATGGCTATTTATAGCCTGTCTTTGTGTAGGAAGTCGACCACACTAGAAATAATTAATTTAAAATTTATATTTTTTGCATAGAATATTCAGTCCATGACTGCGATTATAAAATATTGTGTGTGTATATATATATATATATATATATATATATATATATATATATATATATATATATATATAAATTTCATTTAAAAGTGACTTTGGAAATATTTGCTGTATAAGACCAGTACCCCAAATGTGACACTTACCCACTGACAGTAGTCCTTTACCAACCATCCTTGGTTTTTTAAAATAAGGCCAATTCACTTCAAGTAATGTCATCAAATATTACCCGCTGGTGTAGTGTAAACACTAGTGACGTCACTGAAGCGTCTGCTATTTACCGGTAACTGGAACTAATGTCGGTGTCGAGTAAAATTTTTCCATTTACTTGAAATGGACTTACCGATTTATTTGTTTATTTATTTATTCATAATATACTGTAACATATAAAACACACTGCAAGTATTTTCTTTCATTTATACGCTTGCTTCGCACGAGACGATCGGTGGTGGGAGTGTTCCCTCGTCTCGGTGGTGTGACTGTGTTCCGACTATTTATACAACAGGTGGTTCAACAGCAACCACCGTATTCTAAGTGTGGTGTTTCATTAGGATTTGAGTGAAAAAGGTTACCGGTATGTACTTACTACATACATTTATTACACAAACATATTTATATATATATTTATATATATATATATATATATATATATATATATATATATATATATATATATATATATATATATATATATATATATATATATATATATATATATATATATATATATATTTATATTTAGTTACAATTGCATGAAATAAATATATATATATATATATATATATATATATATATATATATATATATATATATGTATGTATGTATGTATGTATATGTATGTGTGTATATATATATATATATATATATATATATATATATATATATATATATATATATATATATATATATATATATATATATATATATATATATATATATATATATATATATATATATATATATATATATATATATATATATTTGGTGCATTAGGGTACTGGCCACTTCAGACACAAAGACGGGCTATAAATAGCCTTGTTATCTACCCCTACATCTCACCCTGAGCTAGAGGGAAGCGTCTTGGTAAATAAAATTTGTTTGCTTATTTTCCATTTACTTGAAATAGATTTACCGAATTATTTGTTTATTTATTTATTTATAATACAGTTAACCCTCACTTTACGCGGTTAATGTAACCCGGAGGGTACCGCGGAAAGCGAGAAACGCGTAAAGTGAATAACATAACATATGGGATTAATTGAAATGGAGTCCAGGCCGATCCCCAAACTCCACTTTTTGACGACACATAACTATGTTGTAGTAAAAATAACATCTTAATTTTATGATGGTATATGCACACAATTAATACTTAAGAGAAATAGAGAAATACAGTCGCCAAGTTAATGTCCATTCAAATAATGGACACGACTCCCTCCCCCTCTCACACTACACTGCCGGCTCTTCCCTCTCTGAGGAATATTTTGAATATAAATGTCATATAATTTTTACAAAAGATAACATACTTAATCAGATTAAACATTTTATCTAAAAATTTTATGTCTAATGCAAAATATATGATGTTTATATTCAAAATGATCACCAAATTGTAAGAATTCCAGCAATGTAAATTATATTCTGGCCGGGTAATTTGTATGAATTTTATGAGCTAAAACAAATATCTTCAGTTAATAAAAAAAAAAAATATTCTTCACGACACTATCTGTCAATCAAAGTACCCCACCTTGCCTCCCCCCTCTTCCAACAGCGGTCAGTCCCAACCCTCCCCCCCACCCCCCACCAATCCTCCCTTCAAGAGATGTTGGGTGAAAAATTTAGATTTTAACATTTTGTATTAAATAATACCTCAGATTAAAGTTAGGATAATATAATTGACATTGCTGGATTCCTTGTAAGACCAGGAATATTTTGAATATAAACGTCATATATTTTGCACAAAAGATAACATGCTTACTCAGATTAAACATTTTATCTAAAAATTTTATGTCTAATGCAAAATATATGATGTTTATATTCAAAATGATCACCAAATTGTAAGAATTCCAGCAATGTAAATTATATTCTGGCCGGGTAATTTGTATGAATTTTATGAGCTAAAATAAAAATCTTCAGTTAATAAAAAAAAAAATATTCTTCACACGGTAACAGATGGTCGGTCGCCGGTCCCTCCCTCCCTCCCCCCACCCCCCACCAACGTCCCTACTAGATAAATGTGTGGGAATACCAGACTGTTTACCTTTTTAGTAATAAATAATAAATCAGACTAAAGTTAGGATAATATAATTGACATTGCTGGATTCCTTGTAAGACCAGGAATATTTTGAATATAAATATCATATATTTTGCACAAAAGATAACATATTTACTCAAGAGTAAACATTATATCTAAAATTTGTATGTCTAATGCAAAATCTATGATGTTTATATTCAAAATGATCATCAAATTGTAAGAATTCCAGCAATGTAAATTATATTCTGGCCGGATAATTTGTATGAATTTTATGAGCTAAATTAAAAAAAAATTATACTTCACCGTGTAAAGGGGTACATCCACCGCGGAATGTGAGCATCCTGGGTTCTGGCAGGGCACCGCGTAAACGTGGAAACACGCGGAATGTGGGACCGCGTAAAGTGAGGGTTGACTGTATACTGTAATATATTAAACACACTGTAATTATTTTCTTTAATTTATAAACTTGTTTTGCGACAAAGGAATGTTCTCCAGTAGTGTTTCATTAGGATTTGAGTGAAAAAATATTACGTACTTACTACATACATTTATTACACAAACATATTTATATATACTGTATGTATACATATATACACATGCACACATTTAATTTACCAAGTCACAATATTTTAAAAGCAAATTACGAGACAAGTTAAAAATTTTATTAGCACATGATTATTACTGATGTCATCATGTATTAAAACCTTCAAAATCCACATCATCAACATCTGATATCATAAGTTCTTCAAGTACATCCTGAGATACATTTATGGCTGCTTCATCATAAGGATCAAACTCCAAATCAGATGACGTGGCTTCGGCTTCTGTTTCATCCTCGTCCTCCCACAACATATCATCCTCCATACCATCCATTGAATTAGATATTCCACACTTTTTAAAAGACTTGATAACTGTTTCCACATTAATATCATTCCATGCCTTGATAACAAAATCACACAGTACATCCAGTTCGGGAGCACGCATATTCCCACCTTTCGTGTAAGACTTTTTGCCGCTGATCATCCACTTGTTCCATTGTTCACGAACGCGGTCCTTGAAGTGGTTGTACAACTGAAGTTAATCCACCAGGAATAACTGCAATGTCACTGTTGTTCCTCGCCATGCTGGTTTTTGTTCCCTCTGTTAAATGACTCGCGAACATATCCCATACTAAGAGGCTACGCTGTTTTCGAAAGCCACCAGGTCGCCTACACCATATATGATCAATCCATAACTTTATTCCTTGTTCGTCCATCCACCCTTTCTCGTTGACGTGAACAAAAACTCCAGCCGGGAACTTGATTTTGGGCATTGTTTTCCTCTTGAGAGTTAGCATTGGGTTCAACTTGGTTCTGTCTGCCATGCATGAAAGTACTACTGTAAACCGTGTCTTTTCGTGTCCTGTTGTTTTCACGAACACTGTTTTTGCACCCTTTGTATCAACAGTATGATTACCGACCATGTCGAAGTTCATAGGTGTTTCATCCATGTTCCCGATGTTGCTTAATGGATAACAATGTTTCTTACATCGTTGTATTATGTAGCGATGGAAATTAACAATTTTACAGTTAAGATCTGCTGGTAATTTTTGCGCTATTTTTGTCTTCTGCCTCAGTACCAGATTGCTTCTTTCCATAAAACGGCTACACCATGAAGCCGTGGCTTTGAAGTCTTTGCTGTGCTCTTGATTTTGTTTAGCCCACTTAAGTGCCCACATACGTATCATGTTTCTTGATGCAATATACCCATTTTGACGCTGCTCATGGACCATGTCTACTGCGTGCTTCTCTAGAATCGGCCAGTGTGCAGTGCCTCTTCTCATTGCACATTTATTCCTGGGCATACTTCGTAGTAAGTGTTCCTTTGATCTCCAATCCCGCACCATCTTCTCAGTTACACCGTATTCTCTTGAAGCAGCACAATTGTTGTGTGACTGGGCATATGCTATCACTTTCAGCTTAAAACAAGCTTCATATCTCCTGCGTTTAACAATTGGAGCCATGGTGAGGTTTTATGGTAGCTGGATACAGTATTAATATACCGTAGTGTTCACACGGAGAGAGTGCTATTGCTTATGGAGTGATAACTCAACAACTGGACAAGGCAAATGAGAGAAGGGGTATCACGTTTGGGGATAGATAACATGACCTGACGTGGTCACCTTACACATATATGGTAATCATTAAGAATCAAACTCCGAATCAGATGACCTGACTTCTTCTTCATCATTGTCATCCTAAATTTACCGCTGTCGGTAGTTAAAAGAATTAAGTCATTGACTGAATATTCTATGTAAAAAAATAAATTTTAAATTAATTATTTATAGGAGAAAAGTATTATGATCAATAAATATATGGTATTACTGGCCACTTCAGACACAAAGACGGGATAAAAATAGCCCATCTCCCCCTCTTGCAGCTGCCAATGGGAAGCGTCTTGGTAATTAAATTTGATGTTTATTTTCAGTTTGTCTAATTTATCATGTATCAAATTAATATTACTAAAAATTGTGTAGGTAGTAGGCAGCTACTAAACAGGGAGGTACTACTGCCTGGGAAGATATTGGAAGCATAATGTGTTGTCTAATGGTAGACCCTGCTGCTATATGGCATAACGAAAATTGTGACCAAGTCCCAGGTTGCTGACCTGACTTTCTGCCTCATTTACACACAATTGCAGTTTCAATTGTTCCTCTTACTTTAACAACACAACATACATACAGTATATTATTTCTCACTTTTGATCTTTTTTTTTAATTTTTGTATTTATTTATAGTTAGTTACTTAAAATAAGGCCAATTCATTTCAAGTAATGGCAGCAAATGTTACCGGCTGGTGTAGTGTAAACACTAGTGACGTCACTTAAGCGTCTGTAATTAACTGTCGATAGTTTCAAGAATTAACGCACTCATTTACTGAATATTCTTTGTAAAAAAATAAATTTTAAATCAATTATTTATAGGAGATAAATATTATTATCAGTAAATATACCGATACCCGGCATGTATTACTGATCACCTCAACGGCTAAAAATAGCCCAATCTCGCAGTCACTTTCCCTTTCTTGTCTCCACACTGGCAAATGGGGGAGGGGTGTGTGATGATAGCAGCTGTGTTTATTACAAGGTATGTTAGACAGGTTTATAATAAATTTTTATTATTTTAATATACCGGTAATCTTAATTTGAATCCAGCTTGCCAAACGTAAGTTTCAGTATACAATAATTACTGGTAGGACTTTGTGAGTGGCTTACGATGTTTCCATCACCACTCTTGACACAGTAAACCACAATATTTAAGATGTAAGAATTTTATATTTGTTGCTCAAGACGACTCCCTAACTTTGGGCAGATTTTTTTAATGTTCAAATTTCGTCTTATAAGCCGAGATATACGGTGTGTGTGTGTGCGTGTGTGCGTGTGTGCGTGCGTACTTCATTTTTAGTCCATTTAACACGCGGACTTTGAACATATAATCAACAACCTCACCAGCAAGGAATGGATCCCTCGACCTACTGGGTGGGACTAGGGAACGCTTACCGGCTAGCCCACAAGGACACTAGACTGTTATATTTCACACAAAGCCTGTTCATCGAGCTGATGGCGCCGTGAACCTCATTGGGAAACTGCCCATGCCTCGTATGTGGTGTCAGTAGCATTTTACCGAATCCAGCTGGTATGAAACGCGAGGTACATATATATACTTCATTTTTAGTCCATTTAACACGCAGACTTCGAACATATAATCAACGACCTCACCAGCAAGGAATCGAACCCTCGACCTACTGGGTGGGACTAGGGAACGCTTTTTATATATATATATATATAAAATATACTGACACCATATACGTAACCTTTTTCACTCAAATCCTAATGAAACACCACAATTATAATACGGTGGTAGCTGTTGTATAAACAGTGGGAACACAGTCCCACCACCGAGACGAGGTTGTAGTGGACGTCTCCCCTACAACTGCGTAGCCGCATTCCACCTGCTACGTTCTTCCCTAGCAACCAAACGAGCGGCCCGGGGGGGGGGGGCGCGTCACCAGATGCCACAGTATCCTAGCAACCAGCCACCAGCTGCTACCGTTCCCTAGCAACGGAGTCAAAAGACCGGCGACTTCCCACGGTCTACTTCTGGCGGCTGTGTATATAAGCTCTGTCTCTCCATTGAGATTTATTCTGCTCTCAGTTCCTGAACACGCAACACCTCCTCCAAGCAAGCTCCTCGCTGTCCCATTCTCATTCAGCCTGGAGGCCAGCAACAGGCAACATCTTCTCTAACGAAGCTCCTGCACATCTACCTCCTTCAACACGCTACTCACCGAACGTGTCTACTGAGCAGCTCCTCACCACACGGCATCTCCAGCACCAGACTGTCTACCATATAACTTATATTATATAAGAAAACCACCACCTTAGAGTTTCCATCCATCCTGAGTGCTAGACAACATTATATCACGAAACCCTACAAGGTAACACTCCCACCACCGATCGTCTCGTGTGAAGCAAGCATATAAATTAAAGAAAATACTTGCAGTGTGTTTAATATGTTACAGTATATTATAAATAAATAAATAAACAAATAAACAGGTAAATCCATTTCAAGTAAATGGAAAAATTTTACTCGACACCGACATTAGTTCCAGTTACCGGTAAATAGCAGACGCTTCAGTGACGTCACTAGTGTTTACACTACACCAGCGGGTAACATTTGATGACATTACTTGAAGCGAATTGGCCTTATTTTAAAAAACCAAGGATGGTTGGTAGAGGACTACTGAGTCAGTGGGTAAGTGTCACATTTGGGGTACTGGTCTTATACAGCGAATAGAGCTCAAAAGCTACTTTTTAAATGGAAAATTGGGGGGGCCGTCTTATGCACCCCAACGCCTTATAGGCCGAGATATATGGTAATTTTACTGCCATACCTCCCTGGGAAGCACTGTAGTGTTTTGCCCTTTAAAACTCTGGTTGTAAACACAACAACCCCTGTCAACGGAATAGGGTGATTAAAACTCTGGACGTTGGTCTCTTAGACTGGTGCTCATTTAGATTTTAGTATAGGTCCTGTATAGTACAAGTATATGTAAATAGATGAAAGCCAGCAAGTTATTATATTCTGTTGCTGACTACTGTATTCACTCAAAAAACTATATTTATATTTTGTTTAATATACGTAAAGCAAGGGATGAAAGATTTGGACAACCCTACCGAGAAAACAGGAGTCCCAGTGTTCATTCTGAAATTCATTGATCCCCCCCCCCCAAGTAGAGATAGTTTTTGAATGACTGTGCATAATTTGTTGCAGCATATCACACAAGTTAGGGTAGAATGTTATTCAAATTAAACCTAATCTAACCTGACTAGTTAATTCAATACTAGTTAAATATGTAAATTTGTTAGCACATCATCTCAAGATAGATGCACTGTGTAATTTTGTATTATAATGTTAGTGAAAATAAACAAATGTCTGTGTTTTTCAGATTCCCGACGCTGTGACTGCTTATTATTTAAACACCTCTGGATTTGAAGCTGCCGATGGTAGACTGTAAGTAGATACGATATAAATATTTTCTTATATTGATGTATAATAACTCAATTATATACTGTGTTGTATTAAAAGACTTACAGTATTGTTCAATTGTTTACCCTTTCAAGTCATTTTCTGTTTAATGTAGAACAGCTCGGTCTCTGAGATTTGGTTCAAAATCACATTATAGTTACTCCTGAGCATGCTGATCAAGAATCTATGGTCCAAAACTTGATAGTGGGGTAATTAGTAGTCCTAATGAGTCTTAGATCATTTTAATTACTTTTGCAATGCTAATTATTCAACACCTATGGTTTTCAAGGTCACGTTTTGATGTCGTGTTATTCTGGATGTACTTAACCCCCTATGCCCCGGGCTGGGGTGCCGCTGGTCGTACCCCCATGCTGGGTAAATCGAGAAAAATCAACTTTTCACAATTTTTTTTTTAACCTTTTTAAATGATAAAACAATAAAAAGGAAGTAAGAAAAACTACATATTGACCCTCTAGAAACCTCCCTGGGGCCGCAGTGGCGAGGGAGATAAGGGGACAGTATTGTTTTGACGGCTAGCGCTCGTGGTCACTACGCACTTAGCGGCCATTTTCTGCTTGCCTTTGTGTCCGGGAAGGCCAGTAATGCATATATTTACTGATCATAATACTTATTTCCTATAAATAATTCATTTAGAATATTTTATTTGCATTGTTTTTCATAAAAAGTGCTCGGCGACACACACGCAGTCTGTCGCCAGGCTGTCTTTGGTAGAGCAAGTAATGCATATAAATAATTAGCAGAATAATAATTCCACAAATAAGTACATTTATAACCTAATCATAGCATTATTTCCCAGTAATACTACACTACAATACAACTACACTACACTACTTTTAGCAATATTACTTTGATATAACATGATAAATTGGACAAACAATGAAAATGAAACAAACAAAAGTAGGTACACTGTACTTACATTCCAGAAGCTTCCCTGTGGCCGAGTGTGTGACTTGACAGGCAAATAGTCACGCTGGAACCTGATAACCCACGCTGGGCATTCAAACAATGCTGTGAAAAGGAGTGTGGACCTAAAAAGTCCTTCTCATTATGTTCAAAATCTCAATATATGTACTCTTGAACATGCTGATTAAGGATCTGTTGTCCACAATTTGATGTCTGTATAATTATCTTTTCAACGCCAATTATTTGCCACCTACGGTTTTTCAAGGATACTTTTTGTTGTTTGTGTATTATTCTGGATGTACCATACTTAAGTAATTAAACACATTAATTAGCATGTTCAGGACTACCTACAGTAAATTGAGATGTTGTACATTGCATATTGAGCTTTTTTTTATTGTAAGTGTCTTGATAATTTAGTTCTACCTTAAGTTAGCAACAATTGTCTTAAGTCTTTAGAATTTTAGCTAACTTAAAATTTAATGCTACAAGAACATTAGCTTTGAGATTTATCTTTTCAGTGTTCGCCTGATTTCACTTGCAGCCCAGAAGTTTATCTCTGATATAACAAATGATGCTCTGCAACACTGCAAAATGAGAGGTTCCCAGCAGTCAAGCAGCAAGACCAAGGGTAAAGACAAGAGGTTCACACTTACCATGGAAGACCTCACACCTGTCCTTGCAGAGTATGGGATTACTGTCAAGAAACCTCATTATTACATTTAATGTCAGGAGTCCACAATTTTGTATTGAGACAAGATACAGTACTACCTGGATTTAGAAATATTATTCATCAAAATGAAAATTACTTAGGAAATGTCCTGTTTAACCTGGAGAATTAAATATTTGAATAACCATTCTAAAAGTGTTTTATTTACATTAATAATTAATATTCAACAACAAATACCATCTAATTTTTTCCATCTTTTTTCCTCTTTTTTGTCATTTTCTTCTGTAGTTGTGTCCACAGATGTTGATAAGGATTTTCTCGTTGGATGGGTGACTGGGGTATACCACACAGCTGTCGTAGTCCAGGGTGCATCATAGCCAAGTTCTGTGCTAACCCACACATACTTGAGGTAAACCAGTAAAGAGTCACGCACTGTAAATAATAGGGAAATTTACTCATCACTCATGGTTTAATCTATCTATAATATAAAAATACAGTAGAACCTCAATAAATCGGACTAATTGGGGCAGCCCTCGGTCCAAAAAATACAAAAGTTCGAATAAAGCAAATATATGGGGCTGGGGGGTAGAGATGACACTGCTGATCTGAACTGTTTAAAGAAAATCAGTTATGTTATTACTGCACTTCAACAACTAATGCCTTAAAGTGTTATTAAAAGAATATTACATCAACACTAAAAAAAAATGAAATGGAACTCTTTGGGTTGAAAATCACCAGACATAAAAGTCTGGTTGTGAACAACTGTTGTTACCGAGATGATTGTTATTTACTGTAAAGTGTTAAATGTAAGTAACCACATAATTTGTCTCGTGAATAAAGAGAAAACTGTATACATGTACACTGTACAGTACAATAAAGTGTAGGAGTATATTGTATGTGGAAGACGGATGTGTATCTGGGAGCAGCTGGCAGAGAGTAATTTCACCATAATTCTCATATAATTTAGGTTCATTTGGTACCAGGATGATAAAATCTCCAAAAAGAAACGGCTTTCTTGAAGAAAAAAAATCCCACACTGAACACCAGGAGTCATTTCATGCTCATTTATTTACAAAGGGCAAACAGCTGATCAGCTTAATGCAATATCTTCAACACTTAGTAAATTAGTACAATACAGTTGTCTATTTATCATTACTTAATAAATGCTACAGTAAAAGTCCAAAAATCCGGATGCCAGAAATCCGGACCACCCGAGAATCCGGACTTTTCGAAAACTAATTTTTTTTTTTTTTTTTTTTTTTAGTGGGCTTTTGTGTGTATGTGCACATGCGTGAGTGGCACAGCGACAACAAGCGACCACGTGGTCGCCATTTTAAAACGAGCAATCAAACTGTGACAACATACAGTATATACTGGTCTATGACCCCCCCCTCGTTTATCGGTCGACCCTGATTTTTTGACCAAGAAATCGTTAATTTATGATATTCCTCGTTTATAGTTCGACCCACGTTTTTGAGGGTAATGGAACAACAAAACCTTCAGTAAAAACGCTCTACGTCCTATAAACTGAGGCTCGCCGTGCCTGAAACACAAGTGCCGAAGACAAATTGTTTCCCATTTATTATTACGACACTTCACACTGAAACGCGGGTAGTTTCAACAAAAATATTGTATATATCCATTCAAGTATTTATTCAAGTCAATTAGGAGGGAATATTATTGTAATACAACAGTTTTTTAACTAAACCATTCGAAAAGCGATTACGGTAACATCTTTTGAACAAAAGAAAGCGAAAGTCATTGTTTTCGTCACGATTTTATCCCACTTTCCACTGTAATACGTACGTAATTTCGGCAATATTATTACATTTCCGTGAATGCATTATATCAAGCATAGTATGAATAGAATATCATTGTAAAATAACAGAATTTTAACCGAAAACTATTAAAAATAAACGAGTAACTTCTCTTGAACATTGGAAGGTTAGGTAAAATCTTTTGTTTTCGTCATGTATTTTATCCTATTTTACATTAAAATACATCACGTTTCAGCAAAACTACTATTTATTTCCGAGAATATATTCATTCAGGCGCAGTTTAGGTAAAATATAAGTGTGATGTAATAGTTTTTTAACTGAAAACGATTCGAAAAACACGTACCCTCTAGCCCTGTTCAAGGAGAAGACATGGGAGGAGCTGTTTGGTGCTGCAGACGATGACAAGGAAAATGATTTTGATGGATTTTAATGAAAATATTCAGAAATATGGTATCAATTAGGATAGAATGTTATTGTAATACAACAGTTTTTTAACTGAAAACCATTCGAAAAGCGATTACGGTAACATCTTTTGAACGAAAGAAAGCGAAAGTCATTGTTTTCGTCACGATTTTATCCCACTTTCCACTGTAATACGTACGTCATTTCAGTAAAAATATTACATTTCTGTGAATGCATTATATCAAGCACAGTATGAATAGAATACCATTGTAATATAACAATATTTTGAGTCCTACTCTTTCCATTTACAGAGTTCTGTACAAGCCCATAATAATGACTCCGAAAGTAGATAAACTTCGTTGTGTGAAGAGAAAGAAGAAGACGTTGAAATTGAGTGACAAACTTGAAATAATTAAGAAACTAGAACGTGGTGTGAGCAATACTGTTCTAATGGAAACATACGACATTGGAAAGTCTACAATTTATGATATAAAAAAGGCAAAGAATAAAATTCTAGAATTCAGAGCTTTTTCATTAAAACTGTTTTGATAAATGAAGCATGCTATATTTGCTAATGAATAAACTATCAAAATGTACCTGTTCATCTCTTCTTTATTCCTCCTTAAATTTGAATTTTAAAAGTACTGCCTGAGAATCCGGAAAATCCGAAAATCCGGACCGACCCAATCCCCAAGCAGTCCGTATTTTTGGACTTCTACTGTATTGCAGTGTATTATCACAACTTAATATATACTATTGCAGTGTGTTTATCACCACTTAAGCAATATTGTAGTGTAAAGTATTATGCATCTGTATTTACCCTGGTTTACTCATTAATCATTTGTCTAAGTGTACAAGTAGCCAAACTGAGTCATCATATAACACTCAAAGGTAGTAAATAACGATTTTAAGAAGGAATCTTCACATCAAATATTATACAGTGTGTTATAGTAACCTCTGTTGTAAGCGAGGCTGCAGAATGCTCTCGCACAAACGCATCTTGAGTAAATAACCTTCTGATACAGCTTATCCTTTTATTTTCAAGTCATTTTACAAATTACATACAGTATTGTATTTTTTCTGTTACTGAAGATGTTATATTAATCATGATGAATCATAAACCATAAGAAGCCAGTCATATGAGAATATAATACTGAATCAATAAATAAATAAACCTAATGAATGCGACAACACCTGATTAGCCCCAGCCTGCTTACATACTCAAGTGTCTTCGTTCAAAGTAGGCCTATAGCAAATCTGATTAGACCACTGTACAGTATTCAGTAAGTGTTGTTCTTACCGTAAGATTTTTTTATTAATCTCCCCCCCCCCCTTTTTCTGGTTACCATAGCATCTCGTAGTCTGAAAAAAGCAAATTCCGATATATTGAAGTCCGATTCATCGAGGTTTTACTGTAATCCAAAGCTTTCATTAATGCATATTTAAGTACTACCTACAGGACAGCAACCCACTAGGAGAACAGAAAGTTTGAGGAAGTTTTTTGAAACTGAACACAACTTAAGATCTTTGAAACTCTGAATTCAACTTAAGCTTTTTGAAACTATGAACACAACTTAAGCTTTTTGAAACTCTGAACACAACTTATGTTAAACTCGGAAAAAATATATGAATTGAGATTTTGATTTAAAGGTTTTGTTTATCCGAATCTTATTACTCGGCAGTCTATGACAAACAGCTTGTCATGAATCTCAGAGAGAAGGCTATTAGTTAACAGATAGTCAGAAGTTTCTACAAGCTCCACACATGAAAAGCTGCAACTTATTTGTTCAGTACAGCATGCCCTTAAAATTCGCGAATAACATTTGCTGACCAGAGGAGTACATTTTTACACTTGTGTGCAAAGAAATGTATATTCCCTCCCTGTGTTTGCTCTTAGGACAATTATATCTTTTACCTGTTTTGTATATACATGTGTGTGAGTAGATACACACATACACAATACAGGTAAAAGAAATTACGGTCTCTAGAACGAATGGCTCCCTGTCCCGGCCGCAAAAATGCCAGCAACTTTAAAGCATCCCTTAAGACATTCTTGGGTACATCCAGGGTGTCATCCGCGAATAATCAAGGTCCACGAATTAAAAATCCGCATATTGTCAGGGCATGCTGTATAAGTTCTGATAATAATAGCTGGTCTTTTGTTTCTTAAAAGCACCAGTTCTATTAAAGAATTCACGAGCACTTGAAACACTACAAAGCCAAGGACCTGAGAATAAAAAATAAAATATAAAAACAAAATCAGAAAAAGTGACAGTTCAACTAGTGTCCTTCAGTGTAACACTTCCTAAACTCTGTAATTCTCTTCAGGATCATAAGCTTTCCAAAAAAAGAAAGGTCTTAAGTCATTTCTTAAAGACCTGCACAGAAGTCAACTGCTTCATGGATGCAGGCACGAACCCGCATGCGTGCCGTGGGTGTCAACAAAGGCTGTAAGAGACTGCTCCTTAAAAGTTGTATTTCTGATGAATTCAGCAAATCTACTAATCCCAGTCTGTGCAGAGAACTATAGTAAGACCCAATTATCAGCATAGTGGCATCTATTTTTCTTTTAAGTTTTGGACTGTCATTTTTGTTTGATAAAAACATCTGGTCCTACCACCCGGTCCCTCTGGTCGAAGATTTTCAAGTTTGCGCATGAGCAATGTGAAGTGTGTTGTAGCAGTGACGTCTTTACCACTCCACCTCAAACAAGCCAAACTATCTACCTGACTGCAGTGTTGCCAACGTGCCCTATGCCCACCGTTAAACGCTCCCATTCGTTGGAGACGGCGGCAGTAGGTGACAGTGATGCTGACGACTTTCATCTTGAAGACAAGTCTAAGAAGCAGAAACCTCAGAAGTCAGGGTCCCCAGCAGGGGCTACGGCTCCTTCTCGCATCCCATCTGGGGCTGTAGAGGGTGACCTCCTTCTGCCGTCAGGGTCCCCAAGTGAGCTTAAATGTGGCTCAATGACCGACCCTCCGCCGACAGTGGACATAGGGGATTCCCTTTGTCTCCCTGCCCCGTCGTGCCTTCGTCCTCTCGCCTTTCCTCAGGACTTGCCTCTAAGCACACGGACGACCTGGTTCTTCCGTCACTGCTCTCCACTTCAGGACTCAACACTTCGCCTCCGCCGAGGTCCTGCAGCCGTAATAGTCACCACACAAATGGCTGAGACGGTATGCCTGCTCACTCAAGTGGGCTTTCCTGCTCCCCAGGGGGAGATGATACTGAAGTTCACCATCATCACCT